CAAAACGTTTAGTCTTACATCAGATCCAGATTATGAATATAAGATTTTTCTTAAAATACTGTCTTTGATTTTTTTTTGTAAATCACTTAAATAAGCATTCGCTACTGCAACATTGAAAGAAAGACTTTTGAGCTATAAATCTTACATTTAAAGTTCATTTAGTTACAGAATTTTACAAATCCAACTTTTTGCAGCATGTCATGCTACCATAGAAAGCAATATGTTAAATTGCAGGGTATTTCTCTAGTTCATTCACTTTCATAAACATTTTTTTTAGTACTTTTTTCCTTTGGCCATTGCCGAAATTTGTTCGCTACAAGCAAAATATGACACGGACATATGGCGCTGCCCAGCCAAATGTGTGTTCGGCTCAGTGTGTGGTGTGTTGTGTGTGTGTTTGTGTGTGTGTGCGAGTGTGACTGAATGTGGCATACTTTTTGGGCGTCAGCTAGGTTAGATGGAAACAAACAAATAGACAAAAGTGGCAAACACACACACACACACACACACAGCGTAGAGCCAGAGTCAAACACACTCATCTGGCTGCCAAGGAAACTCAATTGAAGAGAAAGCCCGGCGAACCAGCGAAGCATTAAATTAACATTTTTTCTAATTAAACTGGCAGCAAGTGGTATGCAAAAAAAAAAAAAAAATACCAAGTGTGCAGCACAATGCGTTGCCACAATTTGTGGCACTTAAAAGTGAAGCAGCAAAGATTTGCATAATGTCATTCTGTCTGCGGTGGCATTTGGGCCAGATAAGTGCGACTTGAAGCTACGTGATTTCAGTTGGGTATTTTAATGATTGAAAAAAAAAAAGGGTTTTAACAACTTAAATAAACTGATTCATTCTCGAAGCGAATCTAAGATGAACATTTTTAAAGAACAAAGCTCAAAGCTGAACAACTGATGCAGTGTTTGCTTGAGTGTTCCGATAAAATGTTGCTCCAAATATATATTTTAATACTACGTATTTAACTCTTTAGATTACTTGTACGTATTTTTGTAAAATTATGTTTAATATAAAATTATATAAGAAAGCACAAAAGACATATGATGACAAGATGCGCTTTGGAACGGAAGGCAAGTGGAACTTTATTTACTATAAATACGAAATTGAAGTTCATATACGTAAACTATACGCACAAATTGCTTATTGAAACATTCGCAGATTCGCAGATTAAAATGTGCGATCTATATAAAAATTGGCTTACATTGTATTCCATCTATTGGAATTGAACTGCGCTTTTGTTGGTGAGTGCTCAACTTTTTAGCAGGATTCAATGCCAGCCCCTGCAGACCACGCCCAGCCATTGCCTCATGCCCCGAACAGTTAAGGCAAATGAGACACGCAAATGCGAATGCGTTTTATTAATGCCATCATATCATTAGATCAACAAACATGCCCATATAAGAAGTACTTGAACACGCTCTTAACTGCGCACCCCCCCTCCGAATGCTCAACAATAATAATGTTTTGGCATTTATCACACTTTTTTTTCTCGCCCGTTTGTGGCAAAGTGACCAAGCAAAGTGGCTCTAAAATTTCAGTGGCATCAACAAACAGCACAAACGAGAAGAAAATAAAAGCGAGATAAATAAATGTGGCAACAACAAAGAGCAAAGCGCCATAAATCTAAATAACAAATTTTTACGAGAAACGAGACCATAAATAAGATGTTACTGCGACGGGCCTAGCCAGAAAATAATAGTGGAAACACAGGCCGCATTCCCTATTCCATTTTCGACCCTCTCCCTCCCCCAGCAATGTCTGGCTCGGACCATGCGGCTACAATTCCTGAGAGGTCTGTTAATTTAATATTATTACTTTTCATTACAACTGGGCCCCTCTATCTGGTGTGTCCCTCTTTCTGATGGGCTACAGCAAAAAGCTGTTAGTTTGTTTGTTTTTTTTTTTTTTTGTTTTTTTTTCATTTTTCTCGCTCAGTCAAGAGGTCCCAAATGTCAACACATTAATGTCGCAGGACCTGCGAGGCCAGGGTCATATAAATCAACATTTATCTGCTGCCATCGCCGACAATTGAAAATGACAGCAAAAGCAACCGAAACGACCGCATAAATAAATATTTTCATCTTATTTTACGCTAATTACGTAACGCCCTAAAAGCACATATATATCTTTCAGTATTCAAGTAATTACAGTTACAAAATTCTGGGAAACATATAATAAATGCAGCTTAGAGCATAAGACTTCCTTTTATAATGTTTGCAAAACGAGGAAAAATGATATTATTTATTATTATTATTTAATATTAAAATCAGTTGATATCGAGATATTATAAGACTAATGGAACGGAACTTTCCGTGGCCAACACTGTCTATATATTCACTTTATTTTCCAACCGCATTTGAATGTTGAAAGCAAACCTCGCTAAAAATATTATTTCCTTCAGTTTTTGCCCGAGTTGGAAAAGTAAAATATGTGCAAGAGTCAAAATGTTAGCTTAAATTGGGGAGAATGAAAACAAGTTTCTAGAAACAGGTTGCAGATATATTTTGTGTGAAAGAGGATGAGAGCTGTTGTTGTTTGGTCTCACCTTTCACACGGCTGCTTCATTGCATTGGGCTAATAAACAAGCAGGCAGGACATTGCACAAAAACGAAATAGCAGCAGCAGCAGCAGCAACAACAAAAGCAAATGTTGCACATCCTGTTGGACAGAAGAGTTTTTGTTGTTGTTTTTTGTACAGTTTTGTCGCACCTCTTTTTTTCGTATGCACGTGTGTTTGTGTGTGTGTGTGTGTGTGTTGGACTCGTATGAACCATTAAATTGAAATTTATGCGGCACTTTGCCGCGTGAAATGTTTGTACAACTCGTTGCGGGCTGCGGCTTTTCAGCAGGACATGCTCCCCTTCCCTTCTATTCCCCTCGCCGCTCTCTATCTATTTGTAGCGGCCCTGGGCGTTGACAGAGCGACAAACCGTTAGACAACAACATTTGTCGAGTGGCTGGACTGGGCCAAGATCCGAGGGCGAGGGCGCGCTCGGGTTGGCAGGCTGCTTTAAAAACATATGCAAAACTGTTTGCCGTTTGCCGTGTGTATTGCATGTAAATGGTTCTTTGACCCCCCCCCCCCCTCGCGCTTTCACCAACCCCCCAGCCATTCTTCTTTCAAACCATTTCCCCTCTTCACAGCTTTTCACACACGGAAACGTTTGCCGGCTAATTTGTCGTTTGTTTGAAATTATGACACAAAAGCGGCTCAACGCCGGCCAATTGTCTGGTTTTAGCCGGAGGGGGGCACTGCCCCCACAGCCCACGCCCACGCACAGCTGCACAGTGGGCAACGCAACACAAATATCAACCACATATTTTGGTTTTTTTTTTTGTTCGTTCTGTCTTTTTTTCGCAACAAGTTTTAATTAATTTGCCGCAACTTCAGCCCAATCTGAACAGCCTCCCCTCGCAATAATTCTCATGCTCTCTCTCTCTCTCTCTCTCTCTCACTCACTCTCTCGCTCACTTGCTGTGACGAGCAGGGCGCACAAAAAGTTGATGCTACGATAATTTGAAAAGTTTTCGCTTAGACAGCGACAGCGAAGTAGGTAAAATTTAGCCCCCTCTAGCAGGCCAAGCCCCTCACTAGCAGCCTTGCGCTCGCAAATCGCTGCCAAGCTAAAACCTCAACGAGAAACCGAGAAACTGGCAACTGGCAAACTATATGAATACGACATGCTATATTAAGCCTCAAATAAATGCAGCGCCATAATTAACATATAGCAAAAGTTTTTGCTACACTCTAAGCCATAAGCTGCCGAAAAACTAGTACAAACCCTCTGCCAAAACCGAACCACATCTCCCCCCAGCCACCACACACACCATACACCCCCCATATACCACCATTCGCGCTGACTGATGAAATATGACTCCAAAAACAAGTTTTTCTCAATGTGTGAAGGGGTGAATCGACCTGGCAAAGCAATTTGAAATTTACAACTTTCGCTTGATTGAGCCAAAAAAAAAAATAAAAAGAATATTGAGCACATGGCGTTAGATATTTGAAAAGAAGATAAACCTGACTTCAATCGTCGATTAATTGCCGTCACATTAATTGCCGCGACATGAGCCGGCTAAGCCTACAGCAAACTTTAAGATTAATGCACATTTACCTCTCTCCTTCTGCACATTATCTTTGCAAAGGTAATTAGTAAAGCAGATACTGCATTTGGTCTTAATTAAGTAACAGATACTGCGAGACATAAAATATTAGCTTCAGATACGTGCAGAAAATTCCACATATATAAAAAAACGATCGATTAGAAATTCCCTTTAAATGTGAACTGTTACTTCAATATGCTGAGATTGATCACAATTGATTAATCAGAAATTAAATCTAAGCAAATAGGAAATAATATTTTGTTCTCAAGGGAATAGATAATAATATAAGGATTAGAAGATAATTAAAAATAATAGCACAATCAATTTTTCTTTCACTTTTAAAACCAAAATAGATAATATTAAAAAAATATATATATTTTATTTTTCTATAATTTTAACTTACTCAACTCATCTGAAATGAACTAAAATTCCTTCATAGATAATTTATTTTCCAGTTAATGGTTTTGAATCTATTAAAATCTATCCATCTATCTAAAAAATATTTGTTGATAGTCATACCTATACTCCATACTGAGTTTTAAACTTCTTGATTTGGACTTTGTTAGTGTTAATTTAATTTTAAGCTATTTTCTGATAAAAGCTGCCCCAACTAAGTGGGATTCTCGAATAAACTGAAATCAAGTCAACTGCAGACAGACTCTACAACTTAATCAACTGGAGTGTCAAGACATAAACGAAGCTTAATTGAACTTAACTGAGACTCAGCAGCTTAAGTAGCCTGCAACGTGCAACGTGTTGCATGAACAATTAGAAAGTGCGCTTAAATCTAAGCATAATATATCAAATGGAATTACCTAAGACTATATATATATATATATATAAATTTGCCATTAAGTAGTAGTATTTATTAGTGTACTCACGGACTGCATCGACGGTCGCTGGTGTCCAGATAAGCAACAGGGCTGCAAACAAGTTGACTGCAACAAAACTGGCTGCCATCTGCAGACCCATTATTTATTTAATGCCAAAAAGAGTGTGTGAGAGAGTGGATCGTGCTGATATGGTGGTGTTGGGGGTATGTGGCTGTTTAATAGTTAAGCGAGAGCTTGTGCAAATCACAAGTTCGAATATGCTAGTACTTAATACTGCAAATTGCTCTCGCCTGCGCGCTCTCTCTCTCTTCCCTCTCTTACAGTGCGATCAGACTTACTCTCTTTGCTGATATGCTCTGAAGCGCGCGCACGCCTTACGCGCTCTCTCTCTCTCTCTCTCTCTCTCTCTCTCTCAAACGTTTTTGTCGACGTCAATGCGACTCTGCACTCGCTGTTTGACCATAGAGAGAGAGAGACAGTCAGTGTTGTGTAGCAGTGTTGGGTAGTGTGTTGTAAGGAGCGTTTTACACGTGTGTTCGTGTATATGTGTGTGTGTGTGTGTGTGTAGTTTGAATTTGTGTGCGTATTAGTTTTTTTTATAGCATTTAGTTGTATGAACGTTTGTGATAACACGTAGAAAATGGTTGTTCAATCGTTTGTTAAATACATTTGCCCAAGCCGAAAATCATCGGATATAACAAGATATGTTAGCAAATGCGATGTCATCATCATCATTATTGGCATTATATGGCGGCATTTGATTAGTAAAATACAAACAAAATATTCATGCGCTCAACGCATGTGTCACGCCCATCGTTGTTGTTGTAATCGTTGTCGTAGTAGTTGTTGTTCACATTGTTCACGCATTATTATCGTTGTTATTATTATTGTGATAATATTTGTGGACATTTTGCGTTGATTGGTTCAGTTGTGTACAGTACCCCAATTGGTGTTGGTGTTGGTGTTGTTGATGTTGTCCGTTGTTCCGCATTTGACATCAGGTTTAACATCAGGATTATCGTAAACATATATTGTTGCCATGTGGAGGGAAGCTGTTGTTACTATACGACAAAATTTACCTGCTTAAAGTTGTACTAAATACTTAAAAATGAACTCTTAAACAATATAGAGATATGCAGTTTTATATTCTCCTAATTTTTCTTCTTTATTTTTATTGATTTATAGATATTTTCTTTTTGCTGTTGTCATTTGATGCTTTTGTGTTAAGTCGCCTGCAAAAACAGATAGAGAATGACATGTTGTGAGGGCAAATTCGACTGACATCCTTGCCCTGACAAAGGATGTAAAATGAATACGAAACAACAGACCTTTGTGTGTTTGTGTTTTGTTGCGGTTTTTATGCAAATTTCAATCTATCGAACTTTTTAATCCAAAGCTAACATTTGCCTGAGTAAAACCCAACATATATTTTACGCATAAGAAATTTAAAAATGTTTAAAATATTTGCAAAAATCGAAGATAAGTAAATTAAAGGCATGGAAATAGTACAAGTTGAAAGTAGACTATGGAACAAGAAAAAGGTTGTGTCCGCAGCCGAAAAAAGAAGAAGGTACAGTTTAACCAGCTATTAAAGGCATCTAGACTTCTATGTTAATTTCTATATATTAATTTCTCAAAGTTCCAATATTTTAGCAGCTAACATATATAGATTGTATAAATATATTGTTTGCAGGTCTGAACAAGTGGAGAAACCAATTTGCACTCTTGCTGCACGCAATTAGGTTAATCATACTAAAAACTGGCATAAGTGGCATGCCACAAGGCGCGTCAGGCTATTCAAGGCCTATTATTAGATACCTCTACAAAGTGCACGAGCTGAACGACAACAAGAACAGCAACAAATAATTGCCACAACTGTTGGCAATTAAATTCAACTTAAAATGCCTCCAAAGTCGGCACTCAAACTGCAAACTTCTCGAATTTCTATTGGACGGTTAGACAGACAGACAGACAGACAGGTTGGCAGCACTACCAAAAGGTAAATACAAAGTCACTGCGCAATTGCACGAGCGTTGTTACTTTTGATTTCTGTTTCTTTTGCTGCCGCTTTTTATTATTATTTATTTTTTTGCACCCACTTTGTTTACATGGGTTTGCAGAGGAGCGAGCGGACCTGTCCACTTGGTAGCATGAAAAGAGGTAGAAAAAAAGGACTGGTAAACTGCACTCAGCAAACAGGCCGTAGCCGCAGGTGGGCGTGGCCAAGCTAGAGTTGCAGCCTAGGCGGAACATATATATATATATATATGTATGAATATATATGCATGTGTATGTGTGTATATACATCTCGGCTTTATGCTCTATATGCACTTGTAAAAATCAATTAAACTTTTCAAGTGAAGTTATAATGGCTGCCAACTCTTTTTTTTTTGCGTTGTTGTTGCTTTTCTTATTGTTTTCATAGCCCTTGCATTGTTGCCTGATGGAGTTGCCGTTGTTGTTGTTGTTGCAGTTGTCAAAAGTTTTAAAATAATTGGATTTTTTTTTGCCATGGCACTTTTGCTGTAAGCACAGGCACGAACCCAAAAAAACCCGCTGCCCTTTCCATCAAAATTAAAATTTTCTTTGTTACTGACAGCAAGGTATAGAGAGCGAAAGGCGGAGAGAAGGGCATAGGGCTGCGGGCGGGGGTGTAAGCGAGTGAAGGGGATACACTTAATGCTGACTGCAGTCGTCGTCATTCTCGTTGAGCGTTACCCAATTTCCACTACCGAAGTTTTCAACACCAATTGCAAACGTCAACAGCAACAAGAAAAACAACAACAACAACAACAGCAGCAGAAGCAAGCAGAACAGCTGCGTGGGCGTGGCCGATCAACCGCCTACAAGGGCTCGTATCAAGGGGCTGCCAACTTGAAGTGCAAGCTGCCCGTTGCCCGCTGCCCGCGTTGCCAGTTGATTTAATGGATTTTATGCCACACGGCCCGTCATTATCGCAGAAAGATAAAGACAAGGGCCACAAATGCAGTCCCACATATATTGGTATATACATACATACATACCTATGTATATATACATATATATAGGTTACATTCTCTCTAAAGCTTTCAGCATGTGCCACAGAGATCAAAGATAATTTTGAATTACTTACAACTAGCAACTAAGCTGTGAAACGTTGCTTAGAAATTGCTAAATTGGAATTTATAATAGAAATAGATTGATTGGAGATTGGTATGGTATAATTTATAAGGTGTCTACTGTAAACCTGCATACTTATTGTCTTTATGTTAAGCCGCAGCAGGAGAACTAAGCTGCAGTTGAATCCAGCTGCAACTTACAACTTTTGGAGTTATCACAGTACTCAGAACAAATTAAATTCTATTTTTAACGCTATTTTAATGATTTCTAAATAGAATTTTTTTTTTGAAATTCCAAGAAATTTAACCAGTGTATTAAACAAGGCAACTTTATTCGGAATATCACCTGCTTCCAGGTTCTGTGTCAATAACAAAACTATACTTACTTTCTTACTACTAGCCTGAGATCGCAACCGATTAGCCTCGTTATAAAGAAGTCTAAAAAAACATCATTCCCAAATGAGTATTACTTATGCTATTCAATTATTTTAATTAGTTTTGGAATTAGTTTTTCACTGGACTTCTTTCTCCTGTAGTTCATAAATGCCTAATAATTTTAATTAATTAATAACGTATTCATGCATTTTATTTACTCATGCTTTACGCAAATAAAAAGCAAAAAGATCTAATCCAATTGCTTATCATATTTCTTACTCATATTTATATCTCGTTCACTATTTACACGCTGACATAAGCTTGACTTTGCCAGAGAAGAACTGCACAGAAAACTTGCTGACTTTTTGTCAATTAGGCTAATGACATCTGATAAGCCAACTGCTCGGTAGATATGTTACCATATAATACAATAAAACAAAGAAAAACGAATGTCAGCAATGGTTCAAGTTGACAGCAAGAAGAACTTTAGCTGTCACACACGTCGTATGCGTGTTATGAGTGTCTCCAAAATGGATTCCAAACGCAAATACAACAAGTAAAAGTGCTCTTGCCATGAGTGGATACTCTAGTAGATACTCTGTACAACTATTCATATACAAACTTGGCCAATAATATATATATATACAAAATGGTCGGAGCTGCCGTCTTTTGCCATCTTTTGTTACATACAATTTTACAAATATAAACTTTTATAAACCCTTTTAGAGATTTCCAATATTCACAGGGTATTCAAATCTGCCCGAGATGTCGCAAAACTTCATTTAAATATTGCTTTGATAGAGCACATATAGAAAAGGAAAAAGCAACAGCTCTTATAAAGGTAAAGTAAACACACATACACGCGCAAGATAAAATGGGCGTCAGCTCTTAAAGAGTGGGCGGGGATCCGGGAAAGTAGTTGCCACAGCTGTCGACTCTAGTAGCTGCAATTTTTTCCATATTCTTTTTACCACATATTTTTCATATTTTCTTTATTTCTTTCTTTTTTTTCTGCGTTGGGTCTAATAAAAACACTTGACACCGAAACGAGCAAAACAAAGTGCTTGTGGGAGCCACGAAATGAGATGAAGAATGTGGGCAGGTAGGGATTGAAGAACGACGGAAGTAAGACGGAGAGCAGGCGCTTTAAGTATGTTGTGTATAGCTTTGATGCAGCTTTAAGAATTTTAAGACAAATGCGAAAAAAAAAACACGAAAAGCATCTTATCAAAAATGTGAAACTCTTGACAACTGTAAAACTGTGCAAAACTACTTCATCAGGCGCTTAAGTCTTGAGGTCCTTTTCGCAAGCTGTTTGCCTTTTAAAACCAACTAACAATGTAAAACAACATAACTGAGCTGCTTTTACTTGGCTTAACTGCAAATTATCTCTATGGCAAACAATCGAATGCTGCAAAAGTGGCTACAAAATAACAAAAAAAAAAGGACAGCAGTTGCTCCAAAGGACGACACTGAATGCTACACAATAAAAAGCAGCGCAAAAGTATGCTACAAAGTAGCAGCAGCAGTAGCAGCTGTCAAAGGACATGAAAAAGGACCAAATGCGAGCATTTGCAGTTTTAATGCGGCAACTAAATGTTCTTCACCTTCCCCCCCTGCCGCTGAATTTTTTTCGCTCCCTCAATGAGCTGGGAGTTGATTACAAATCCAATGCTTGGCTTATGCGAGCGTGCGATTTGTTGCCTTTGATGCGATTCATAAGCAAACTTCTTGAAGTCAGATCGAATATTACAAACGCAAAGGGAGCAGAAAAATTGCCTATTTTTCAGCGTGCTCTATCAATTCGCTGGATACGTTTTAAGAGCTCGTGAATTATTGAAGTGTGTGGAACTTGCGTAAACTATTTCTTGTTCGAAAAAAAACTTAGAGCTTGAGTTATTCCCCTTTCTTAAAAGTTTACCTTAAAGGTAGTATTAGTCGTGCTATGAACTACGAACGAAAACCTCTTGCGGAGCTGCATTAATCAATAGGTATTATGACATTCAAACGATTCAAATGTCAAAACACAGCACAATTTTTGCACTGAAATGTTTATAATTTGGCACAAATTTGACAAATATAAGTATAATACACATTTTTTACGATAGGTCAGTGTGCGTGTGTGAGCTTTTGCCGATAATAAAAATTATAAAAATAATTTTACGAGTTTATTTTATGTGCAAAAATAGAGCTGTATTTTAAATTTCAGAGCACGAACTGCACAACCAATTTTATAGATAGCTTTTTGGGGCCGGCAAAAAATTCGGACACATAAATAAAACTGAGTTTTACTAAAATTTAATCGGAATTATATCCTCTATATAGTTTAGATAGACAAATTTCAATTGTCAGCCCAAAAATGCATTTGACAGTCGATTCAACTTAAAGCCATCTATCAAAAATGGCAGCGTCCCTTTTTTTCGGGCAAGTTTCCATTGAATAGTTACGCTTACGATTAACTGCCTGGAAATTCACTTACTAGCTACCCCCAAAAAAAAAACACTAACTGTGTCAATTTCTGGCGCATCCTTTTCGCTTGCTTGTCCCACAAAACTTGAGGACAATGTCCATAGCAAACATTTCAATGCCTTTGCCCAACCAGCAAATAAAGAAAAAAACGCCCAGAAAATCACAGCTCTTCGCCCAAAAACGATTTAGGCCGCAATCCACAGACACACACAAACTTGCACACATGCACAACAGTGACCATCAGTCGCAGTCGCCGAAAACGTGACGCTTGTTTTGCGCTGCCCAAAACAAAGGCAGGAAATTTGGGCGTCAAACGCTCTGCCACGCCTCTAGCCTAACTACAAACTGGAAAACTGTTAACGCGTGCTTTAAGCCAAAGGCCCGAGGAGAGCAGCTCAAAATTGTTGTACCGCTCGTAAAAGCCAAAATGAAAATAGATAAAAAATAAAACGCTCACACACACACACTAACACACACTCACACACCCGCACGCATACACGCTCAGTGCAAAGCAACTTCATTTTGTAAATCAATTGAATTTTCAATTGTGTGTGCGTCGGCGAGCAAGAAGAAGCAGCAGCACCAGAAGTGGAAAAAAAAAGGCGAAGAAGGTAACATAAAAGTCAATGCGGGCACAAATAAAGGAAACGACACTATTACCCGGGACCAACAGCAGCAGCAGCCACTGTGCCAGGACAATGACACAGGACAACAACAACAACAAAAACAAACACAACAGATTTTGATTTTGGGTTAGTTTCCTACCTCCCCTCCGGCCCACATCACACGACGCCCCTGACGCGACCCTTGCCCCATGTCAATTGCTGTGAAAATCGTTTCATTTTGTGAAGCCAAATTTTTTGGGTTCGTAATTTTTTCTTGTTGTCAAATAGCTATAAGAACTTTAACTATATTTTAGCATTGCATAAGCAAATCCTCTGCCATGCCTAATAATCTAAAGCCTAAACGACATTTTAAGGCCACACACAAAGATCTGTTCTTCTGCTATAAATTGAAACAAAAATTTAAATTTGTTTTATTTTTTACCAGTTCTTTAAGCGCTTCAATGCAAACATTAATTAGCTGTTGGCGTACGTTGAGCTAAAAACTAAAAAAAAAAACGCAAACAAATAAGAACAGTTAACCGGCACGCGGTAAACACGACGCGACGCGTGGCATGCGTTGAAAGGCGGGGGAGCTGAGGCAGGCTGGGGCGGTTTGGTGTGTAACGAGTATTAACCGAGGCAAAGCCGAAGATGTTGACGTTTTCAATTCAAACTCTTCAACAAAACACAAGTATTTATATATTATATATAATATATTTATTTTTTTATATTTTTAGTATTTTATTGGAAATTTTTAAAGCATTTTTTAAACAATTTTTTTGTTGTATTTGATTGTTAATTCTTTTCTTTTTTGTCACACACAGCGCGCTCAGTTTCTTACAGGCTGGTTACATCCTGCCAAATCCCGAAATTGTACTAAATACGTACAAAACTTTTACGATTGGCCAAGGCTCAGCACCAGCCGCAGCGAGCAGATGGTGTGTGTGCGCGTGTGTGAGTGGGTTTGTGTGTGTGTGTGTTTGTGTGCCAGCCGAGGCTCAACGAGCAGCCTGAGCGAATAAACGGATTCGGCAAGTTACTGTGGTGAGTTTTTCGTACGAGCAACGAAGCGCTAACGAAGCCCCACGAAACCAACTCAAGTGAGCTAAAGAGAGCAGCGAAAGTGCTGCTGTTGGAGTCGCATAGGTGGCTCAATTCGGCTCAAAAGTGCAAGAAAAGAGAATGTAGAGCACAGCATGAAGAGAACATAAAGTGTGAGCGAACGAAAGTAGCTCAGCTTGAGCAAAGTTGTAAAGCCTTCCAAATTGTAACTGACTCAAGCAAGGTACAAACTTTGACTAAATTAATATCATTATTAAATACTGTATTTAAAAAATTGATGCCACTAAATAAATGAATTTATTTTTTTGATTTTAAATCCAGTAATTTTATAACTTTTAAAATATTTATTTCAAGCGTAGAAATTATTTCTAAACGTAAAGAAAATATGCCTTTGTTAATATTTTGTAATTGAAGCCCACTAAAGAACATTCAAAAGAGAGCAATACGTAGCTCACTCAAACATGCAATTGGCAGTGCAGCTAAAACTCACTCACAAATGCAGCTCAAAGCATAACTAAAACAAGCTGCAACTCAAACATTGTTCGCAATAATGTCGCTCAAAGAGCTGCTAAATAAGAGTCGAATAAAGTACTCAAGGTTCATGGCACTTGTGTACTTGTGCTCAATTGAAAACTCAATCCAACTAAGAGCAATTCATAGAAAGCTCAGTAGCAAGGATAGCTTAAAACGCTCAAGAGCAGCCAGGCGACTCGCAACTCAAGCGGCACAAAACTCAACTCAAATTCAAGCAGAGCAGCAGGACGTACAGTACAATTACAGGTCTCAACGTCTCTTTGAGCTGCCATAAAGGAAATGAGCTGCGCTCAAATATGCAGACTCTTTTTCAAAAAAACTCAATTCACACACAGCAAAGAGCGAAGTGACGCTGCAGTCAAACTCAACTCAACACAGGACAGGGAAAAGCTTTCGGCTATGCTCGGCACAGCGTCGCGTTTAACTTGGCTCGTGCGTGGGTGAATTTAACGAAGCTGGCCAATTCGCAAGGATTGAACCGCCTTGCCGCGTCAGTCTTCAGTGGAGCGGCGTGCTGTGTGCTAAAAGCGGCAGGTGCAAAAGGGTAATGCTCGACTGCTGTCGCAGCAGCCGCTGCTGCTTGTGCGGCGAGCGAATTGTGTTGCATACTTTTTGGCGCGCGCGTTTGAGGCTGAGTTTATGTGAACTGTGACAGACACAGAGACAGTCGAGAAAGTTGCACAAAAAAACAGACAGTTGCAAAGGCAAAGCAGACGTTGCGATTTACCGTTGTTGTGGCGCCAGAATGGCTGTGTGAGTGTGTGTGTCCTGCTGCTTGGCCCCAGGAGACATTTAACATAATAAAAACGAACGTGTGCGGCATTCGTTGCTGTTTTTCAACTGCAAACGTGTATGTGCGTGTGCTTGTGCTGGTTTTGTTTAATGCTAATAACACACAGATAGTACACGCACACACACACACACAAACACGGGCACACGCACACTTAGTAGAAACAATATTGCAAATGTGTGCGGCAAAGCAGTTGGCAAAAGTGTCGTAAATCGTTTAGACGGCAAACGTGGCAAGCGCTCAGGACACGGACACAGGACAAACGCACACAGACTCACACACACACACACAGTTGCGCTGCCAGGACGATATGTAAAGGACAAAAGCCAGCGTGGGAAAAAACATATATATTTTTATATATTATAAAGCAACGCCACAGGATGCTGCCTGCTGATAGCGACTGCTCCTTTGCTTAGTTCATGTGAGTATAAACATGCCAGCCTACTCCCCGTCGCCATACCCATTTCCCACACACACGCACACACACTCACACACACTCACACACACCATCAACAACTGAATGAACTTCATAACGGCACTTTCTTATATTTTTTTTTGGCGCGCGAACTTTTATGAGGTTTTAACGTAAATTCGAATGTTTGAATTAGGCGGAGTCCTATTCCTTGCCACAGTTGGAGGCGTGATAAATTTTTATGTGTGCACACGCACACACACACACACACACCCACACCAACACATATCGTTAGGGTGTGCCGCCCAATGGCCAATTAAACCGCAAGTGCCGAAATCGAAACTGATTAATTTGTGAGCGTTCGCTTCCGTTTTTATTTTAGCAAATGGTTTTTTTTTTTAAGTGTGCCAGCCAAATGATTTGTTGAGTTTTTGCCTTTGATTAATTGCTCATATAAAGGTGACAAAAATGTACATGAAAGTGATCAAATGCATTGTGAGACTGAACGACTGTAACATGCCCTGTGTTAAGATAATTCTTTTTCAGAGAATATCTATTAGAATTTTGTAAAGCAAAAATTGTGCGTAAAATCGCATATTTAATTTGGGGGAAAATATTTTAAAAGTTGTGCCCGCAATCACATTTTACGAAAAAAATGTTTGTGAAAATAAAATCTTTTTAATAATTTTCTAACTTTATAATGTACAAGTGTTCACAAATTGAATTAAAAGATATGATTTATCATAGACAACCTTAGATTGAACAGTTCGTTAACAGAGGCAGTAAAAGGGACATATTAAATAAAATGATTAATATGCCGACATAGAGAAATGTGTATAAATAAAAATTATTTTGAGAATCTCTTTTTTATTAATTTGGTAATTTATATTTCAAGCAAAAGTCCATTTGTAATTATTACTAAATATAAAGAAAAAGTCTTTGCTCATAATTTATGGAAGAGAAAAGAAGACAGACAGTAATTCAGTTATTTTAGCCATAATATTTTAATAACAACGCTAAGCAGTAAAACCTTCGACATAAAGTTTTATGGTACTTCAATTTATATAGGCGGGATTCCTATACATACTTAATAATAATAGTCAATAATTGCGAATATATTTTAGTCATAGCATTTCATTAACAGACCTAAGTAGTTAAACCTTTAAAATAAAATTTTATGGAAAATAAACTTATTTCTATACGTAGTTATGTGAAATACTATATTGTTTGTTGTAAAGAAAAGGCAAGGAAGACATAGAGATGGGAACATAAAATTTCGATTTTTACTGTTTTTGATCGGGGTTTATACAAGCTATTACTCTCTATTGCCCTATCATAGCCTTGATATAGCTTTTCACAACAACAGAACACATGAATTGCCTAAATGACGCATGCAAATTAAACTTTCCGTTCGATTTAAATTAAAAAAAAAATTATGTTTGATTTGCAAATGCATATACGTTTTTAGGCATTGGCATATTTTTGGCTCGTTTTAAAGGCCCGAAATGCAAATGTCAAATTGCCGCATGCGATGCGCAAAATCAAAAGCCAAACACAGAATTAACAAAAACAAACAAACGAAAACAAAAAATGACACAAATGCTGCACGAAAAATATTTGCAGAAAATTGTTGAACATTTTACGGGCCAGCTTTTGCAAAATATGAGAGTACAAAAAAACAGGATTATGATAATATATTTATTTTTATAATAAAATTTAAAAACCAGCAAAATTTCTGTAAATTATGAGAGACCAAAATCACATTTCAGCACACGCAAAAGCAAAAAAAAAAAATCCAACAATTTCTTGTGAATTTTATTTAAGCAATAAATCAAATAAAATATGAGAAATTGAGAATTATTTGACTATCGCTCTTTTCATTTATTTGTTTTAGGCAAAGCAAACGTAACAAATGAGAGACTGACAATAAGAAACAAGGAAATGTGAAGGCTTCGATCACAGATAGAATGTTAAGAGGCTGCCTTTTAAATAGATATTTTCATCCAAGAAATGGTAAGTTTTCTTAAACCATTTAATAGTTGAATGCGTTTTTTTTTTTTGTATATAACCTATAAGCTATAAAATATTCTTATTAAGAGCTAGGCGTTGTTCTTATATTTAATTTATTAAGGGTAAATGTTTGAATTTTAAGAAAAAGGAAAAAGGCAGACTTAATTTTCATAAACAAACTAAAGTTAAAGTTAAAGTTTCCTTACGTATTTGGCACACCAGATATTTTATTCCGACATAAAAAGAACGTTTTATCGATGTTTAAGAGAAATTAGTGTATATGGACACTTTTAAATATTTTAAATATCTTCATACATGAGATGTTTTTTTCTAACAGTTTATCGATATTTTAATAGGGTTAGTGTAAATCCTTATTTAACAAACATTAACGTATCTCAAAAAACATATTTCATATGAGAGCTACATAACATAATTATCCAGTTGGTTTTCAAAATAGTAATCGACTAGTTTGCAAACCAACAGTCGGGCAACAGATTGGACGGGTTTTAATATATAAGCCCAGCTCGTTGTTTCGCTGCAAGACATGCACGACACATTATGGAAAAATGAGAGCGTAGTCTCTGCAAGGTTTCCTTTTCGAGTTTTTGCTTTTAAACTGTTTTCATCTGACTTAAAACAAGTTTTCTCTTAATTGTACCTTATCATTGACAATTTTTTATATATTATTGCCTTTAGTATCTATTATGTTTAAAACTGATTAAATTCGAAAAGTTCCTATTTTCCACTACCAGAATATATAGGTTCTGCTAGATTTCCAATTCGAGTTTGTTGTTATATATTTTTTTTATTGGAGACTATGCTGAACGGGTCGTTCTTCTATATATCAATTTGTTCGCTTACTTGTGTCCCTTTATGTAACATTATTGTAAGCCTTAAAATATTTTAAAAGTAATTTTGAAACTGGGCATCCTCTTTTTGTATAGGCCATAAATAGAAGAATCTTTTCTATAATTAATTTTAAGCTCGATTACGATAACCCTTGATTTAAATTTAATTAAAAAAAAAAAAACATAAAACATAAATTTTCTGCACGCAATTTTAATATTAGACAATTCCCGATTCCCAATTGTTGAAGTATTCACAAAGTGAAGTCTCTTTCCTTTTTATATATATTCCACTGACATACCTTTAGAAATTTTTTATATTTCATAGCCGTAACTGTGCATCATGATTAATAGTCAAAAAATTCGAGTCAAAGCACCATTCAAACCAAATCCCATAGGTCCACTGACAGTGAAAAAAGAGGCGCTCGTAAAAACCCACTTCTTGTTGGAGTTCCATAATATGGTCGCATTTTGTCTGCATTTTTATGTGCTTAATCCTTTTTAACTTTCCCTGTATAAAACCCTATATATATCTATAACCGAACAATCTGTCACTTTGTGACAATAATGAAAACTTTCGCACATGTGCAACAACCACAAGAACAACGAGATAAAAATATATATTTGGCGAGTTGAATCGTAAAAATCTGTAAACTGCGTAGTCAACGCCAAGCGCAACAAGCAAATGCACTCAAAAAACGGGAAAGGCTACAAATGCAAACAAATCTATAAAAAAAAAAGAAAAATAAAATGACGACAACAAAACGTGTCAAGTGATAAGCAGAAGGAGCGAAATGATGCCCCAAAATGTGTCCCCTGCAGTTTGCAGTTGCAACTTTACGAGCCAAAAGAGGTTCAGGCGAGCAGCCGGCTCCACCTCAGGCTTTTGCAGTGTCATAAAAGCTGGTGGCACGTCGCTTGGCCCATTTGATGTTGCATACTTTTGCGCGTCTGTTAGTATTAATTTGCTGAGGTAACTTGCCCGCATGCCAAAAGCGAGGCGCGGTGTGGAGCATGAGACGGGGCCAGATTCAAGGAGCCGTTCCTGCAGTTCATTATGCATGCTTGTCCGAACGTTGTGCTTTGAGGCACACACACAGCAAAGAGAGAGAGGGAGTGAGATCAAGAGGGCGGCGGGAATGGGAAGAACTTGCCAAGTTTTAGCAATTTCATTTTCAATTGACTGGCGACCAGGACACGCTGCCAGTGTTGGCTAACCAACAGCAATTGAGCGTATGAAATGCCGCAAAAGCAGAAGCCCACACAAAAGTTCAGCACACACATGCGAGCACACACACACATACACACACACACACACACACAAAGACACTAGAATCCTTTGCTTTCAATTCGTTTCCTTTCTATAGCAGCTACTTATTCTATTTCAAGAGTGTGCGCGTGTGTGTCTATTTGCCTAGTTATTGGGTTATCCCCAACATTTTACAACACATTAGAGATAAAGGAGAACTAGCGGGCTACACTCAGAGAAATAGTTAGGCACGTTGTGCGCAGATCAAGCACCAAATCCAAGCATGAGATTGGTAATTAAAGAACTTATTTCAATTTAAATTTTCATAGCATACAAAATATTAATATATTGTCAATTATTTTATAAACAACCAATCTAATCCTCTTAGATGTTCGTGTGAGTAAGAACCCAAGCAGTATTCTTAAGACATACTAATCAAATTCGGTTTGTTCTAATCGGAGAATCTTATTTCGTTGATAATAAAATCATTTTATATTCTATTCCATTCTATTTTTTTTTCTAATCTAACCTATTCCTTAAACTATTTATAATCTTAAAATTCCCAATTACACATGTTTCACGCTTGTTTTACGTTAGAAAATTATTGTTCGAAATAAAACCCGATACACAGAAGACTTTAAAAACATAAGTAAACATACAGTTAAGAAAGAAATTGGTCATACTGATTATAGATTGGAAATATTTCTTTAAGTGTATGTTGCATGTGTGTATTGCAAAGTTTTCCAGCAAAATTACGCAGTACAGACACGCACAATTCATTTGCAAATAGAACCGTTTAATTTGTTGCCTTTTGTGCCCGCTGATATCCTTGATATTCACATGTCCGGGCGTCGAACAAAAGTTACAACTCTTAGAGGCATGGGCGGAGTAAAAGGGGGCCAGCTAGGGCAGCAGGGGGCTGCTTAAGGCCCGCATATAACGCACACAAAGGCGCAGTCGAGATTACTTTATGAACAGAACCTTCTATTATAGCTGGCAAATGGTGGCGCTGCCCATAAAACAGAAGCTGTTCAATACGCTCCGCAGTAATTGCGAACTCCCACCCTACACCCCCCCCCCCTTCTCCACGACCACCCGACTATGCAAATAGAAGGGCCCGAAGAACTGTATTTGCACTGGAATCGTACGAAAAGTCTAGACACTTGGAAAATCCGACTCGATTTTGCATTGGCACGTAGCTTTGCTTTCCTTTTGCCTAATGGCCAAATCATACGTTCAACTGGCAGCGATTTGATAGCCTTCAGTTATGTGGCCAAAGATCTGGCACCACTTGACAAATGAGACCACAGCCGAACGAGAAAGTGTGTGCGTCCCAAAAACCGGACATCATGCGATATGCAAAATGTGCTGCGGCTCATTGGACAACAACATTGCGTAGCGTTTTTGATTTATTGACGGTGTATCGCACGAGTGAAATATGGGTTGCCAAGAAGAATCCTTAACTGAAGAGCCCTTAAGTTAAAACAAATTAGAAAAAAGCTGATTAAACCAGCAACTTTTATTCGCAGAAGTGCGCGCCTATACCATTTGGGAATTGTAAGCGAATACTATGAAAAATTTTAAGATTCACAAGAAACATCTTTCGTATTTATGTTTATCCAAAAAAAAACATTCCAAAATGTGACTAATTTCTTAATATTTTTGTTTATACTCTACTCGTAAAGTATTAAATATATTTGAGAACCGATATATTATGGAATTGTTAAGTAAACTCAAATAATATATTTTAAGAAAAAAATATTTCCTTTTTTATAAAACTCAACGCAGAATACACAATATAGAATTTGAAATTTTTATCATTATACTCTCTGGTCTGCATTTAAAATTAATCATTTTTTGTGAGCACATGAGCTTCTTTTAAGGGGCATATTATATGTGTGTTGTATAGAAAATTCATATTCCTCCTCCAAAAAAAAGGAAGACAAGAAAGACTCAAAAGAACAAGCATATATATCGCTCTACTGTATTATATCATGAATTTCATCGCATAAACGTCATTTGTTATTTATATTATACTTTTTATATGTTAATTTTTCGTTTTCTTTATAAAAACTGCATATCTTTATAGAATCATTAAAAAGAGTTTTTAAGTATTTAATCAAACAATAATAAACGCTACTCACGTTATTAAATATCGCCATAATTTCCCACCGTTGTCGTTGTTCTTGTTGTTGTTCTCATCTATCTCTACAGCAGTTTATGCGTTTCGATCAGCACATCAGTAGCTATAAGAAAGAGATAAAAAATATAAGATTTTTGATTAGTCTTAAGTCTTTTCAAATAACAATAAATTTTCGTGGCTAACAATAAATTGTTTTTATATTCCTTAGCTGCTACACTTGGAAATCTTTTGCTGTCTGATGGATGGACTCTTCAACATATTTTTATTTATTTATTTTTTAAAAAATTTGAAAATGTTTTATGTGCCGCAACAATAAAAGTAAAAATATTGCTATAAATAAACCAATTTTCCAACAAAACTGTCAGTCAATAAAAAAATAAAAAAAATTTAAGAGACTTTCTCATGGTTGGGCTTTTGGGTGTGGTTGGGGCAGGTGGGCCCAAGGACTGGGTCGAGGCATGCAGCGGCATTTATGGGCACAAAATGATTGTTATTATACCTTCTTATTATTATTATTGTTATCAAAGCCAATGTCAAGCCCCGGCGGAGTCGAAAGGCCCACAGCAGGCAACGGCACAAGTCAGCAGAGCCGGAAACGGCGACAGCCAAAAAACGTGCCAGGCATAAGGAGAACCGCACCACACTGGGGCGTAACACCCGCATACACCTACACATTATGTATATCTGTGTGTGTGTGTGCGTGCGTGTGTTGTGTGCAAAAATTTATGTTTTGTTTGTTTATTTGTTTATGCAGTGCTTTGTGAACTGTTCTCGACTCCCCCCTCACTTTGGTCATACTTTTACACACCTGCGCGCACACATACACACGCACGCATCGCAGTAGCTCATGCAAATTTATACACCTGCCCGGACGCCATAATAAATATTCGCCAAAAATATCTCATTTCAGCGCCTTTTGTCTACCTGCTTTTCGCTGGCTTGTCACGTGTCGGCATCATTACCGCACGTAGCGCCGTTATTTATACAAAATGTATATCGTTTATAGCGACAACCAACCCGCACCCCTAACTCTGAACAGCCCCACAAATACATGAAAAGAATAAAATTGGTACACTACATATACACAATTGTACGTAGCACGCCGCGTTTTGATTGCACTTTCACAAAAGTACAAGAAAAATGCTAATATACTAATTCATAATTGAATTTATTCGAATTAAAGACACGCATTTACCACCCAGGAAGGTGGATTTCCCCATAAGATTCATTTGAACGTTTTTGAGAATCTCATCATCTTAGCTTTCACAAACATAGCCAAAGCTAAAATTTGGGCTCTGGACATGTCAGACAAACAAATGTTCGTAATAGAAATGCCTGAGTAGCACGCTTTGTCAGAAATTTATAATACCCAATGATAGTGTATATGTATGCATGTTGAGAAGAAAAGAAATTTAAATCATCTGGCAGTTTATTTTTCTGTTTTTGGGGTCTGAGCAATTTTGCTAATTGTTCAATTCATGTGGAGCGGCTGTAGCAGCTGCTGCTGTCGCTTTGTTGTTGCTTTTGGTCGGTTTTGTCGCTTTGTTGGGGGGCTGTTGGTTGGACGGTTTGTCGCTTTAGCAGCTCCTTTGGGGCATGCAATTTACGACACATGTGCACGGCCGAGCGACCAAGCCAGCAACTAGGCAACAGAACATGGGCACAATGTCGGACCTGCTCAGAGCGTTACAGTTAATTTGTTGACAGCTTAGTTGCCCAACACTGGACGGAACCGAACGGCATGGCACAGAACCTAACGGAATGGGACTCAAACGAACTGAACTCCTTGGGGACTACAAGACGTCCATATATAGCGTCAGCCTCTATCCAAATGTGGCCAGCGAACGGCCAAGACAGCGCGCAATTGTAATTAGTGACTATGGTAAATAGTTTCGGAGGGGGTGGTATGAGGGGATGTGGGGTGGTGGATACAAAGCTGTTGAGGAAATTATATGGTATTTAATGAAAATAGAGATAGAAAAACGGCATTTACATAAGCGTATACTTAAAACACATATTATATTTAAATGAAGATTGTTTCTTTTAAGGCAAGAGGTCATAATATTTAAGAGAGACAAAGTTAAGAATAATATTTAATTGAGATAAGAACATATGGCAAAGGGATATGAGGGAAAGAAAAATTTAGAAAAGAGTAAAAAGCAACACGTTAACCATGTAATAAATATTAAAAAGAAATTTTTTGCTGTTCTAATTTGATATATTTTCTGTACTGTCTATTTGTTTAGCTCATATTCATTTTTTACTTATACATTTTATTAATTATAATTTTTTTTATATATATCATGCCTGTAAATCAAGGTATCTATCAAGCTTTCCACTCAACTTCCTATTTCCTGAGTAGAATCTTATTATGTTCACAACGCGCGTCCACTCTCCTACTCTAGTTATATACGTTGTCTTGCCAACGCATCCTTGGACCATTGATGCTGTCCCTTTAGGCCGTGTAAATCTAAGACACACACACACACATAACTAAATATAAAGATAACCGCATTTTTTAGTGATTTGATTATCAATTGCCCAGCACGAGAAACTTAAAACTCATACCTGAATAGGGGGGAACCAGGTTGAAAGAAAGAAAAAATATTGATGTTCTCCCCATTTCGTTTCGTTATAAATACAATTTGGACTTCAATTTTCAATTGCTGCTGCTTCTGCTGCTTTGCCAGCAAAGATGTCAAATTTCAACGTCAACGTTGTCGTCAACTAATTGGGTTTCAGCGCTCCTCAAAGAAAGCAACACCAAAAAAAAAAAAAGGAACAACATTTTGCCAGCAGGTGGAGAAATGTGTAAAAGAAAAAGATTAAATTTCCTTGTTACGACTTACGGCTGAGCACAAAATGAGAAAAAGCGACAAAAGTGAAAATAAATATTGAATTATTGATATACAATACATATTTAATATATACGAATGTGTATGAGAACGTGTCTGAGTGTGAGTGTGAGTGTGCGTGTGTGTGTGCATATCCATGCATACATACATGACTTGAGGAACCAAGTTGACAAAAAAGAATTTCATATGTATATTTGTATTTACTTATCAAAGGGTTTTATTTCGCTGAGGCCTCATTTGAAATGCAGCTGACAATTTGAGTTCGGCAACTAAGAGCATAAAATTTTCATAAAAGCCGCTCAAAATGCGTTGATGTATTGAAAAACCAGGCAAGACAGCTTTGCGCCTTTCTCTGCGCTTCACAGCGCGCTGAGCTGATTGAGTTTGGGTAGGGGGTTGTTTTGGATGTCAAATTTGTTTTAAGCTCGATGGCGAATTGGGATTATTATGAACTGAATATAAAAAAGATGTGAATACCTGTATATGTTCAATGTTTTTACCCGTAAAATATGCTTTGAATTTTTTTTAATTCCGATATTAACATAAAATGTATTTATAAGCGCGATATCAACATTGTTCCTCCCAGGTGAAACGTTGGCGGAATAATGGCGAATTCGTTTCATAAAACAGCCGAGTACTGTATTTAATTCCCTTATTTTTTGCGCTCCACTTAGCTTATTGTCAGCGCAAATATTTGTTTGTTTGTCTTTTGACGTAAGACGCAGCTACCCAACCACACAAGATACGCCGTAAGGGAGCACCCGCAGCCCACCCAAGCGCTAGGTATTTTTTCTAGAGGCAGCTCAGATGGGTAGGATAGGAGCTGCTGTGGTGCTGAGGCGCATGGCTTATTTCGTTTTACGAGTACGCTTTGGGCCCGGACCCAGGCGCAGGCAATATTTTGCATGTTTGCATACAAAATATCATATTTGCTGAGATTGTTTCATTAAAAAAAAAAAAAAAAAAGAGGCAACGCAGGCAGGTGGTGCTGCCTAGAGCTGGCAGCCACTACCCTTAGGCATGCTAGTACGTGTTTAGCTTTAGCACCTACACAGACACACACACTCACACACATACACACACATACACACACCACATGCGTGGACCATAAAATGGTCATATTACCAAAAAGAGCGGCAAGTGGCGCGCTGAGAAAATTGGTTTTGCCACGCACCATGCCAACAGAAATAATATAATATCTGTGAACATGAGAAAAAGTATAGAGAAAAAATCCACTTGAAAGAAAGCTAGGAAAACTGTTTTCGACTAGTTGTGCATGCCAAACAGGTGGACCGCTGTTCTGACCATAAAATTTACTCGTTTCGCATGTATTGAAAAGACATAAAGCCTAAAAGCGGCTCAAAGAGTTTTGTTTTCCCATATAAAAAGCAAACTTCAACAGCAAACAGAAGCTATAAAAAAATCGGCTGCACAAAGTTGGATTATTTTGAGAGAATATATATGAAGTAGGCTACATAATACGATTAGTATCTGATATTTCTCAGGTTAAATAAAGCAACTAATATTAATGCAGACTAAACAAGATTAAAGTACTAAGTTGTAAAAACTGTTATATAGCAAAAGATAAAAAATATATATATATTTTAGCAATTTATTGATGTATTTTTTTTATAAAATACTTGGTTAGACACTCGTTTTGTCGAGCATTAAGAAAAAAAATAAATAAGTAAATCTATAATCTTTCCATCTATCTGAAAATAATTCACTCTATAATTAGCAAAAACTATCTCTTTGAAATTCTTTTAAATTTCTGTAATTTACACTATTTATTTTCTACCCCCATTGAATATGTATTAAAAGCATTTGCTTTTAACTTTTTACCTTCTGCACAAAACATGAAATAGCGCTGAAACATCAAAATAGAGATACGATTTACAAGCTGCCACCGTGTCCCCTCTGGTATCTGCCAACCAGCCCTGGACATAAAAATGGAATAAACATTAACTTTCCATTTCAGTCAAGCTGTCAGCAGCCCAAACGTCCAAAAGTAACCCACTCTCCTAGCCCAAAGCCCCCAATTCACTATTCATGTGATATGCCTGCACTTTGTTGCTTTTTCTCTTTCCGGCTCGGGCACACACAGCTGCACACACCTTTGTACACACCTACGCCACAGAGTTACTCAATTATTTCGTTGACATTAAGCACATAAAAATACAAATAGATGACACCCAGCTACAACAACAACAACAGCAAAAACAACAACACAAAAAAAGGGACCACAACGAGTTCTTATAATGGTCTGACCGCCCACACCCGCTCCCCCTGCACAACTCTACACTTTCTCCCCTTGCCCAGGGCCAGGCAGCGATTTGTCTGCAGATACCTTTTTTGCCTAGGCCAAAAGGACGCCCGTCTTTATCGCAGATTAAGTGCGACATCGTCATCTAACGTCCACCCGAGCCCTTGCAGACAC